TATTTGAAACTGACATCGTTCATGCTTTTTTGGAGAGGCATTCACTGTCGTACCATGGTGAAGTGTTGCTTTTGTGACTTTCTGGTCGTCTAAACATGGAGGCAGCTGAAAGGATGGCGTCCGTGAATATAGAGACTGCTTCCGCTACATTAGTCAATGAACACATGGCTGCTTGTTCCAGTTTTCGATGTACAGGTAGCAATTGTTTACACTCCATACATGGCAAGTGTTCTGTTTGGAAGCTGTTCGCTTCCAGGTTTCAATTATCGATTTCAGGCAAGTTGTAATGGATATTAAGTCTTTTATTACATCAATAGGAAGCTAGTGAGTGCACATGCCCCAGTATATACATGTATAACATAGGCCACAATATTGTCGAACATGTGTGGCATTGGGCCTTTAACCCGAGTCAACTCAGGGCATATGAAGTTCAAAGGTTAGGGGAAATGCTCCTCAGGGAATCTTTTCGGGGGAGAGAGGGGGGGCACCGCTGCACCCCACTTGATCAGCCCCTGCGTTTGACATAAAAACTGAATAAAAGACCAATTTACACAATGATAAAATTCCGGAGTACTGCACTACTTTAACCCTAGGATCGGAACGGTTGTTTGCCGCAAAAGACGCGTCAGCTCCCTATGATGCGAAGTGCCACTGGAGAGCACCAGAGCGTGAGGCAGCAGCAGTATAGCGAGGCAGCGAGCGCGCCATACTGAGATAATTGTTTCGCGGCGGTCAGGCTTCACTGGTTGGGACGACGCCCAGTAAACTGCATTGTTACGATGCGTTTCTATTACAATTTACGTCGTAACATGCATGCTACCCAAATGTCAAAAGATTGCCATTCACAAACTGAAAACATCAACATTCCCGGATAGATGTCACATGGGGATACATAACAGAGCTCAAGGGGTAAAAAACGTCTTGTGTATTGTATAGAGCAACGTTTTGGGGAAATGCCAGCCATACTGATTATATTGCATTCCATTGTACTGTATTGTATTGTATTGCATTGTATTGTATATATAAACTAAGAACTTTCATGTGTAAGAATCCAGTCAGTACAAGTGCTCTACTTAAATCGTGTTGAGACAATGCATGCCACACGTATATGCAATGTCAACTTTGTCCAGGTGTATGTCATTGAGAAAAGGTGGGTTTTCAGACTGGTTTTAAAGGAGGCCAAGTTATTGACAAGTCTCAGTTTGAATGGCAGATCGTTCCAGAGTCGTGGAGCTGCTCTGGATCGAGCGATCGATCTCCACGTGCGGCGGTCCTTGCGTGTGGAACACACCGCATGTCTTGTCCCACGGATCTAAGAGACCTCGCGGCGTTGTACAGTCCGTTTGGGTTCACTGAGAATAATGAATTATTTAACAACTCGATATGGGAAACGTGCACATAAATAAGACACATGGTCCTGAAACCCCTGTACCCAAAAGGATCTGAAAAATAACGTCTTATGACAGATTACGGAAAAAAGTTGTTTAAGAAACTATCATGTCATGTTGTTCTATTTTCATGATTTACACTGAAGGGTGACAAACAGTTGGTGGAACAGCGTCGTCATGCACTTCGGGTGCAGCTTAGCACAGCCAGGTGAGATGAGCCCTGCTAGTCAGGAAGCGGCCATACAACTCAGGCACAAAAATCGTTGAGATCGATTTTTTGACATCTTCAAATTAGTCCGCGAATATTGATTCCGAAATACAGTTAGTTAGAACATTAATTGTTAATAGTTCCGTTTAAGAACATTGATTAATTCACATGAAATGACATCAGTAGTAGTCGAATACAATAAGGTAGAACATCGATCGTTGATAGATCTATTTAAGAGACGAATAATGTTCTGTATTGTGTTTGTGCCCCCGAGTTTCCATATAGTCTAAAAATAGCACAGTTACCATATCTTCCCCGAGTGAATGAGTGAATTGGGTTTTATGTCGTTTCCAGCAATAATCCAGAAATATACAGCGGGGGACACCAGAAATGGGCTTCACACATTGTACCCATGTGGGGAATCGAACCCGGTCTTTGGCGTGAAGAGCGAACGTTTTAAACCAGGCTACCGCTGCGCCCCCAGTTTGCTGACGAAATGGAAAATAACAGTAAAGGTGACATACACATGAATACTGATGCTGTTACAATACGTGGTTTAAACATATTTATTTTCAGAAACCTGGGTTGGTAAACAAGCATTTTTATCCTTATAAATTACCGCCCCAGCAACATAACATTTCCAAAATTGTGATGGTTACAAGTAAACGAAAATAATTAACAACTCATGTGTTCATAGATAAGTAAGCATGCGTTCATAAATAAATGAAGCAAAGGTGCGATTAACATTATGATGATAAGTGCTGCAATGACGGTACACGTACAGACATACAAGAGTTCCAGCTTTTTAGATTTTACAGTCATAATCATACGAAAGTTGCCTATGCATTTACAAATCGATTGCTTTCAGTTATGAGGTGATATACAGATTTTAATATATCCATTTCAACATTTTTTATTAAAATCTTGTTACCATATAAGTTGGTTTCTAGATCACATTCGTGGATGTAAAAGAAGGCATTTTCTGATTTCACTATATTTAGTACAAGTAAAAAAATAATGATATGAATTCTCAGTTTGGTGCCCACAAGAGCAGACCGGTATATATATCTTTGAAATTTGTCCCAGTTAAGATCACTAAATCCTAGTCACAGTCGACTGTGAGTTATTTGACAGTTTCTTACATCAAAGTAACAATATGTATAATTCTCTTGGCTGATGATGTTCTAGTGATCTCGAGTACAATTAGTGGACTACAAGCTCAGATAAATATGCTCTACTTCACGTCACATCTAAACTCAAACAGGATAGCCTCAGAAGTATGTTAGTAATGTGCTAGTGTTTTTTATTATGCATCAATGTTGCAAGTGTAATATATATACTGACAGGGGAAAGAACCTGTGCATAACATAAAATACAAGTTATTTGAAAAATTATAAAAGTAACCCTCAATAAACACGTAGCAAAGCACTTTGCATTATGTGTGACGATCATGCACCCTGTCTCGCCTGTTAAAGGAGATATATGTTCAGCGCCATAGAGCGTCACTGAGCAGCTCAAAGTTGGAATATAGGCGCTATACAAATTTATTATTATTATTATTATTATTATTATTATTATTATTATTATTATTATTATTATTATTATTATTATTATTATTATTATTATCATATAGTAGAAATCTGAAATCAAATCATTTATAAAGCATGTAACAAGAAATATCTTAAAAAAGAACCTAGGGAGAGTAGAGCGGTGGGGTAGCCTAGTGGTTAAAGCGTTCGCTCGTCACGCCGAAGACCCGGTTCGATTCCCACATGAGTACAATGTGTGAAGCCCATTTCTGGTGTCCCCCGCCGTGATGTTGCTGGAATATTGCTAAAAGCGGCGTAAAAACCAAACTCAGTCAGTCAGTCAGTCCCCCGCCGTGATGTTGCTGGAATATTGCTAAAAGCGGCGTAAAACCAAACTCACTCACTATCGAGAGTTAATGAGCAGTGTTGGCATCAAGTGGCCTGATGTCTTACAGGTTTTATTATTGATTTGAGATGACTACCGGTGCACTGTTGTGTTTGCTGCTATTGTGTTAAACGTTATTGTGTTGTATGTTGTCATGGTGATAACATGATATCATGATGATATCACCTTTCAGTGTTGTTTGTAGGCTTCACGCATAGTTCTCGAGTAACTATTTACTTTCAACCTGGGGTCAATACGTATGTTTACATGGCGATCGAAGCCCCCACTTATAAGTTCAATTGGTCGGGGCAAACATACGAGATACACACCTTTTTAATCTCTAAAGACAGTGTTATATTAATCGTAAGCTACGTCATTAAGATATCGGAAGGACCACTAATTTTAGTTCTTTATAACCGTGTACATCACAGGCATTTGATCGATTGGGATATATACTATATGCCTCGACAATTATACAATATTTGTCATATTTTTATGTTTAACAGCTGGGCTAAGTAAAGCTAAGTAAAGCCTATCTTTCAAACAATATTTTTTTATGCCAAAAAAGAACGTAGTGATACTGAATCTTCTCGTAATTTTATGAATACTCTAATACTGACTAATGTTATTTCCCCTAAATATATATGTCTCTCATTTAGATTATCTTTTAATCCTGCCCCTTCCCCGGGATTGTGTAAATTAAATCATCAATTGTCTTGTTCCGGGGAGTGGGGAGGAGCGGTTGCCGAGTCCCAGGGAATGAGCAGTTCCGTGAATTGGGCACGGCATATACATTTGTGTATGACGATTATGACTTTGGAGATTTTTATATAAATATTTCGAAAAACGATTGAATGGAATCACACATTCGAAATAACTATCGAAAGAAACCACATGTGTTACAATTGTAGAACAAACTCTATGGATAACACCTCTTCTCGTCATGAAGGGGGCGTGTAATAGATGTAGAAATTGAAAACGTAAATTGTTTAAATTTAAATATAAATTGTTTAAGCCTCCGCTTATGTGCCACTGTATCCCGCCTGAGAGAAATGCACTGTCATTTCGCTTTGAACATTGGATACCGCCTCATCAAGTATTGTAGACATTTCTAGACTATTGTCTTGTGTATATAAGGTAGCTGCTTCTTGCCTCTAACCTCACAATGCATCTCAAGAAACCAGAAGGCCACCATTGTGATGATCATATCTTGGTTTCAGGCTTAGTTCTTGAGTAACTAGTTAGTAGCATCCAAAATTAGTAGCATCCAAAACATTACAAGATTGAAAAATTGTTGAAATTCGAGGGTACTCTCCACCGCCGTTCATACAGAGAGAAAGGAACTGTCATTCCGCTCTGAAAATTGGAAACGCTCTTGACAAAATAACATAAAAGCATACACGGCAGAATACACAGCATTATCTTATCTACACAGTGTTTTCGGGTTGAATGCACCCGACACCCGTTCTCCATAGAGATCAACAACGTACCTGCTTTGAGTAGATCAGCAGAAACATGGCTGCACAACCAATTCCAAATATAAATCCAGTAAGTCTTTCTCTAGACGGCATTTTATCCTCACAACGAAAGTTTAACCTGATGGCCTGTGACAAAGATGGTAGAACAACGATTGCAACAGAGACCGTCTCCAAGCAACGAGGAGACATTAACATAATAACTTGTCATGAAGCCGAGTCATGCAGACCAAAGTCCATATAAAATGCAGTAGGGTTTAGTGTAGTGTAGTTTAAAGTCCCGCACACAGTTCTATGAATAACAAGTAGCATTCAAGTCGTCATTGTTGGAACCTGGGCGAGACATCAATAGTGTGTATCAATTACTTTGTGTGCACAGGTGTTATTTAGATGTTTAATCCAGATCAATACAGATAGTGACAAATCGAGGAGAGTTGCGAGGGCGATCATTTTCACCTTCGTAACAAGTGACATTTGTACAACCCCTATATATAAAATCAAACCAACATGTAGAAACTAACTTATGTAAAACATTAACGCAAAATGTAAAGAGATGTCTTTAACTCAATACGTCAACACCTAACGCAAAAGGTAAATACATTCATCAAACAAGTCGTAGTGGTGTACAAACAATGGGCGTCTTTTTCTCGCAGTACAACAGAGTGGGCCAGGAGGAACAGTTTACAGATACCAGGGGAAGTCGACTAAGTCCGGCTTGCACAACCCCAGTATGTAAAATCAAGACAATATGTAAAAACTAACGCAATATGTAAAAAATTAACTCAAAACGTTAAAATAACGCAATATGTAAAAAATTAACTCAAAACGTAAAAATAACGCAATATGTGAAAAATTAACCAAAATTGTAAAAAATGTCTTAAACGCAATACGTAATCACCTAACGCAAAATGGAAAACAATTTTAACGCAATTTGTAAAAGATTAACTGAACATGTAAAATCCAGCCTTTTTCTTGTTTATAAGTCTTGGCGACTGACATTCATTTTTTCCGAAACTTTACTTTAATGTTTTTCAACAATATTAGATATTGCAATATTTCTGTCAAAATTAACCTCATTTCTAATTCAATTAAAATCTGATCTACAGTGTCATTAAACATAAAAGTAAAGCCGATAATTGTATAATATACATGTATAGCGATACTTGATATCATAATCTATATTCGACAGTATCCAAGGAAATCATTTTATTCTTCATAGTATCTTTACATAAATGGTCATATGGGTTGTATTCATTCTGTCGTATTCAAGGAGGTTTTACCTTTTGGCCTTTTTTCTTATCCCACAACGCGCATGTAGCGCAAAGTTGGGAACATAGAATGACCCTCCGTCCGCCAGTCCTCCATATCTCAAGAAGTGGTTTGTCAATTTGTAATGATATTTGGTAACCTCCGTCCTCGATACCACAAGAAGTGGTTTATCAATTTTTAATGATACTTGGTAACCTCCGTCCTCGATATCTCAAGAAGTGGTTTATCAATTTTTAATGATATTTGGTAACCAAGCGTCAACTTGTGAAATTCTGCAGATATCAGTTTTTTTGTATTTGTTTCTGTTTCTTTTTAATTGTTTTTGTTAAGAGACCAGCTTGTTCAGATTTGTCCTATTTAGTGGTGAATTTACAGCAATTTATTTTCCTTTTTGGAATTATTGTGCCATCCCATACGAATTACAGAGACTTGCAATGTATGTAATAGACCATCAGTCCTCATGTATGTAATACACCATCAGTCGTCATGTATGTAATACACCACCCAGTTGTCATGTATGTAATACACCATCAGCTGTCATGTATATAAAACACCACCAGCCGGCATGTATGTAATACACCATCAGTCGTCATGTATGTAATACACCATCAGTCATCATGTATGTAGTACACCATCAGTCGTCATGTATGTAATACACCATCAGTCGTCATGTATGTAATACACCATCAGTCGTCATGTATGTAATACACCATCAGTCATCATGTATGTAATACACCATCAGTCGTCATGTATGTAATACACCATCAGTCGTCATGTATGTAATACACCATCAGTCGTCATGTATGTAATACACCATCAGTCATCATGTATGTAATACACCATCAGTGGTTATATGTGTAATACACCATCAGTCGTCATGTATGTAATACACCATCAGTCGTCATGTGTGTAATACACCATCAGTCATCATGTATGTAATACACCATCAGTCGTCATGTATGTAATACACCATCAGTCGTCATGTATGTAATACACCATCAGTCGTCATGTGTGTAATACACCATCAGTCGTCATGTGTGTAATACACCATCAGTCGTCATGTGTGTAATACACCATCAGTCGTCATGTGTGTAATACACCATCAGCTGCCATGTATGTAATACACCATCAGTCGTCATGTGTGTAATACACCATCAGTCGTCATGTATGTAATACACCATCAGTGGTCATGTATGTAATACACCATCAGTGGTCATGTATGTAATACACCATCAGTGGTCATGTGTGTAATACACCATCAGTCGTCATGTGTGTAATACACCATCAGTCGTCATGTATGTAATACACCATCAGTGGTCATGTATGTAATACACCATCAGTGGTCATGTGTGTAATACACCATCAGCTGTCATGTATGTAATACACCATCAGTCGTCGTGTGTGTAATACACCATCAGTCGTCATGTATGTAATACACCATCAGTCGTCATGTGTGTAATACACCATCAGTCGTCATGTGGTCATGTATGTAATACACCATCAGTTGTCATGTATGTAATACACCATCAGTGGTCATGTGTGTAATACACCATCAGTCGTCATGTATGTAATACACCATCAGTGGTCATGTATGTAATGCACCATCAGCTGTCATGTATGTAATACACCATCAGTCGTCATGTATGTAATACACCATCAGTCGTCATGTATGTAATACACCATCAGTCGTCATGTATGTAATACACCATCAGTGGTCACGTATGTAATACACCATCAGTGGTCATGTGTGTAATACACCATCAGTCGTCATGTATGTAATACACCATCAGTGGTCATGTATGTAATACACCATCAGCTGTCATGTGTGTAATACACCATCAGTCGTCATGTATGTAATACACCATCAGTCGTCATGTATGTAATACATCATCATGTATGTAATACATCATCGTCATGTATGTAATACACCATCAGTCGTCATGTCATGTGTGTATGTAATACACCATCAGTCGTCATGTATGTAATACACCATCAGTCGTCATGTATGTAATACACCATCAGTCGTCATGTATGTAATACACCATCAGTCGTCATGTCATGTGTAATACACCATCAGTCGTCATGTATGTAATACACCATCAGTCGTCATGTATGTAATACACCATCACGTCATCAATACACCGTCATGTCATGTGTGTGTAATACACCATCAGTCATCATGTATGTAATACACCATCAGTCGTCATGTATGTAATACACCATCAGTGGTCATGTATGTAATACACCATCAGTCGTTATGTGTGTAATACACCATCAGTCGTCATGTATGTAATACACCATCAGTGGTCATGTATGTAATACACCATCAGTCGTCATGTATGTAATACACCATCAGTCGTCATGTGTGTAATACACCATCAGTCGTCATGTATGTAATACAACATCAGTCGCCATGTGTGTGATACGCCATCAGTTGTCTTGTATGTAATGCACCATCACTTGTCTTGTATGTAATACACCATCAGTCGTCATGTATGTAATACACCATCAGTCGTCATGTGTGTAATACACCATCAGTTGTCATGTATGTAATACACCATCAGTCGTCATGTATGTAATACACCATCAGTCGTCATGTGTGTAATACACCATCAGTCGTCATGTATGTAATACACCATCAGTCGTCATGTGTGTAATACACCATCAGTCGTCATGTGTGTAATACACCATCAGTTGTCATGTATGTAATACACCATCAGTCGTCATGTGTGTAATACTGAAAATCCGGTTTAGAACTGATCTTCAGTGACCAACGCCTGTAGTGAAAGACAACTAACGGGATCGGGAGGTCAGGATCGCTGACTTGGTTGACACATGTCATCGGTTCCCAATTGTGTAGATCGAATCTGATGCTGTTGATCACTGTATTGTGTGGTCCAGACTCGATCATGTACAGATGGCCGTCATATATGCGACGTTACACAACAAACAAACAAACAAACAAACTCATTCAGTCCGTGAAAACGTATATATTCGTGAGAATTAGGAGTGAGTGAGTATGGTTTTACGCCGCTTTTAGCAATATTCCAGCAATAACACGGCGGGGGACACCAGAAATGTGCTTCACACATTGTACCCATGTGGGGAATCGAACCCGGGTCTTCGGCGTGACGAGCGAACGCTTTAACCACTAGGCTACCCCACCGCCCCCTAGTGAGAATTAGGAGATATTTATTGTCTGGTTATGGGTGTGAAAGGTGTGTATTTTGTAAGGTATGTTTTGCAAACAAGTATTAACTTATGTATTTTTAACGTCTTAAGTCTGCCAATGCGACCTTTCAGTGAAGATATCATTGTCTTTATAAAGAAGTACTTTTGTGAACTAATGTTTAATTTGTAGGTCACGTGGTTACATCGTGGCATTACACATTCATCGTTACATGTCTGGCGTACAATATACCCCAGTACATTATGCCCAGCCTATTATAAAAATACATATTCAGTCAACCCATAAACATGTAGGGTAATATTTGTGTATCTCTTCATGTTCATGAAACTGATAATTATTTATATGCTACAGGATTGGTTGGGCCTCATAACTTCACTATAAATTACATGTTAACATAAAAACATGCATTTCCATGCAGAAAAATAGAAAATAATGTTATCTCCTGTTTAGCATTTGACAAAAGCGACAAAACCGTTCCCGTGATAATATTAAAAATATCAAATACATGTCCGGATGGGCTGCACCCTCTCAGCGCCTTATTATCAAACCATTGATTAAACGGGGCGCTCGAGAAAAGTCAAGGTCACCTCGCCCCACCGTCGGTACACGTAAACTCTTTCAATGATAAGTCAGTTGTGTACCAGAATAGACATTCACGGGGACAACTGGTTAAAGGGGGTGGGACTTCATGTTGATAATTGTAAGT